TCACCCTACTGGGGAAACTGTTTGGTTTCTCAGATTTTCTTTTAGGGAATTTCTCACACCCCCTGAAACTGGAGGTGTGGGAACCTCCGCAATTAGCACAGAGTGGAGGTTTGTCATTGTTATTCTTGTCAGGGCATTCATTAACAAAATGTCCTTTGCCACATCTGACACATTTGGGTGCATAATTGCAACCCGCTTGTGTACGATTAAACCCCTGGCAACGGAAACATTGCAGGGGTCCTTGTCGACCTAAATATTCTTTAATCTTAATTTTCATGTGACATAGAAATCTCTCATTGTATATTTTCTTGGACTTGTCATTTTTTGGTAGCGAAATTAAAAACAGAGGGAGTTTGGTAACCTCTCCGTTACGCCGTCTTGTCATTTGTTTTACATCTTTGATATGATAATCAAGTTGTTCAAGTTCAGATTTGATATCCTCGATCAGAGTATGTTCAGTAAGTCCTCTAAGGACAACTTTTAAATATCGGTCTTCCGGTAGGATGTACGAATGGTGTTCGACTTGTTTAAGTATTTGGACTACAGTCCGGTAATCGTCAGGTGTTTCGGTGATAACTTTGATGCTTCCCATAGGAATATGCTCCCCGTGAAATTTGATATTTCTGTGAAGGAAGATAGATCTAATTTCACTCCATTTCAATTTATTTTCTTTGAGAGTAATTGGCGGAATTTTTGAATTCCTACTATTTTGTTTTTGTTTATTTGCATTCGTGTCAGTGGGGTTTTCGTTGTCCGGTGAGGTGGTATCCATTGTCTCATTATTTTGTGTATGAGTATTTTTATTGACTGCTACCGCGGTAGCTGGTGTATCTGAGGTACTATCCTGATTTTGTTGCTTTTGTGTAGTACTTTTAGGGGGACTACTAAGCTTAATTTTCTTAAAATTTTGTCTTTGAGATCTTATTCTGACTGTTTGATCACCTTTAGTCTTTGGTAAATCATCATCTGAACTCGTGGGCTGATCCAATGATATTTCATTTAGAGTGTTAAAGTTTTATTGTGTAACTTAATAGGACTTCTGTCCCTATCATTATCTACATTTTTACCTTGTGATGATTTATCCTGAGATTTATCCTGTTGTGTTAACTGTGTGTTAACAGAAACTAGCATTTCGATCATACTTTGTAAGAAATTGTACATCTTATTTTCAGTATCAGTGAGTGTACCATTCTGCTGGCGGATGGTATCAAGTTCACTAATTTTTACCCTCGCGGCATCCAAAATCGTGTCCATAATCGCAATACAGAATCAAGAAATCCTGCGCCCAATCAGCAGTCCAGAGTCCCGCGCCCCGGAACCGGACCCACTCGACGGTGTTCCGGCAGACGGATGAGCGGGCGAAAGTCTACTAGGCCCCTATCTCACACCTGACAGCGTGAGCCTTGGGGAAACTAAGCAGACACAACGACCAAAATCCGAAAAAATTTAATTACGCGCACGCAATTAATTTAAAATCTGATAATTTAATTTAAATTGCAAAATTAATACGCAAAAATAAGCGCCGGAAAATCAGTATCAATAGCGCGGTATCACTCGTACCAGCAATTAAGCTAATTCGCAAGAAAAGGCAAAAATAATATATAAATTCTTAAAATAATACAAAATAATAAAATAATAAAAGCATCCAGGCTTTTAAAAATAAATACAAACCGAGGATTAGCATTTAAAAATGCTGATGCATGCGGATAGTAAATTTGCACGTGGTCGCACTCCGCAACACACGCAGAATCGGACAGGGCGTACACGTGGTAACAGGACCGGAAGCAGGCACAATATCTACGACGAACCTTCTCCTATGGCGTCCACCCCTCGAATGATGAATTATGCAACTAATGTACGTGTTTCGCTTTTAATTTATACCCCCGCCAACTGTGCTATTATCCTAAGGAGCAAAATGTGTTGCAGCGTGCCTGTTGCAGAACCAACACTTAAAAAATCTTTAGATATATCAGGTATAGCAGAATTGATTACCACAAGTTTACGATGTGGTAGAATACACTACAAGCAAACAGCAAACAGTTTTTGCGTGGGTAGAACAAAGTTGCTCTTTTGCTTGTTCTTTACGGTTCTTCTTTACGGAGAATAAAATTGGGGCTGACAAATAATAACACACCAAGTAAAGCTATGTAAACGCAAAGCTAATTTACCTGCCTGAATGATGTGCATGCTTACTCTTAGACCTACGTGAGGTGTTTCAAGATCAAAGAACATTTATCAAAATATAGTTCCTACTACACATTTAGCACACGACAGTGCTTTAATCTTGACAGGTGTTTTTCCATTGCACTTGTATTTTCGTTGCATTGTACTGTTCCTCGCCCTTTTATCTGTTAGCTAAGTGTTGAGGAACCTAGTGAACTACTAAGCGAATAATCATTCAAATCCCAACTCAGGAAGCGTTAATTACCTTTTATTGCTCAAAATAAAGATTCACAAACGAATCGCTTCTCAGGACGTACAACAAAGCCTCCACTTGGGCTGAAAAAAGAAAGAAAGAAGAACATAACTAATGACTAACTAAAGAGATTTAGCCGAAGCTAACACAATTTCTAAACCAGTGGGCACTTAATATTAAATTAGCTAGCGAAGCTATCAAGGGCACTTAATACGGCCGAGCGTAGTAAGAGCTTAGAGAGATGTCGCCAAAAAGGCAAACGCGCGCTATTCAGGAATTCTAATTCTCTCTCTCGAAGTCTTAGGTCTTAGGTTATAGTCATAAAAGTGGTGTACGATCCAGAGGTCTTTACCTTGTCCTATTTTGTCCTTTTGAAATCCAAAATGAAAAAAAAAAATCGAAATCCAGAAATTTCGAATACCTGTACACAGCCTTGTTGATCTCCAAGTCTCTCTCGAAGTCAGTGAACCTTGATACAAATCCGCTCCTCATTTACATTTAACGCGATGCTTGAAACTCATTCTGGAAAGGAATTGTAAGATGAAGCTAGAAGAGATAGGAAAGTGCTATAAACTTAAAATAAGTGTTATGAAATTGGGATATACCTTTCAACATAACAGCATTTCTAACAGCATATCATAAAAGAGTTATTTTCTATTTGAATTGGTCAGTAAAGTATACTAAAACTCTGAAACAGAAGTGACTTAAATCTGCATTCCTTCGCGCCTGCAAAATGCCTCCTCGCTAAGGTATCGCTACCTGTATACACTGGTACATCTAAATTTTTCCGAGCTCACATATAAGAAATTATTTGGCAATAAATTTCTTTTTCAAACATGTAATGGCAATACTAAATGAATTTTAAAACTTTGTTAGTGTAGCCATTTGCTGGTCTTTTTTATTGTTTATTGAATGAATGATGTGCTAGATTTTTTAGAAAATGTTTAAAACTGAGTATACATTCTGTGATTAAATTTTCAGTTAGAAGAGATATTACTCTCAAAGAAGTCAAACAACATGTGATTCCGTACGGTGATTTGCCTTTTTTTTTTTTTTTTTTTTTTTTGGTTGTATAGTCAAAGAATGTGTAAAACAATATCGAATAGGCGAGAATCCGTTCAAACTGATTCTCGTGAAGATTAACTATTAGGCTCATTATCATCAAAAAGTACTGCTGTTGTCTAGAAGGAAATATTTAGAGATAAAAGATTCAAAGTAAAGGAGATAGCAGCAAGATCGGATTTATCTAAAATAACTTTTTTGAGCCTTCGACATGAAGATCTCTGCAAGGAAAAGTCTCTACACGATGTGTACCCAGACTTTTCTAAGAATTCAAAGCAGCGAAATGATGTTTTCTATGAACAGTGTTTTGCAATTATACAATGCGCGCAAGTGAAGTGTTCTGCAGTCCATTGTAGCTGGGATTAAACATTGGTCCTATGTTACGATCCTCAATCGAAATGGGAATTACTGGAGTGCAAGAGACCTGGTGAAGCTCTACGAATAAAGGATATGCTTCAATAATCAGTAAAACGGTAAATTGTAACCATTCGTTTCCGGAACACCGAATTCATGTTCTCCATGATAACATTCCTGCAAATTTAGCTGTCATTTCCAAAAAAAAGTATAGAAATGTGGATTGAAAGATCTTCATTATCCCCTTTGCTGTCCAGATTTTGCTTCAAGAGATTATTAGCTATTCTCGAAATTAAAATCTGATCTTCGTGGAAAAAGCACTCTGATTAATTTTTCGGGGTAACCACAGGATTGTTATTCAAGAGATGTGGAAAACGCATCGAAGTACAACTGGACGATATTGAAAAATAAATTATTAAAATTTTTTGTATTTCCCCACAAAAATATATCAGGCAAAAACCTTTTGGACCTGCCTATGTCTGTATTCCTTCCTGCCTGTATATTTCTGCGTACAACTAGTAAAGGCTCTAGTGTAGAACTGGGTGCCCCTCCGATTAGCGATTTTTTTTTTTTTTTTTTAATTTTGGCAATGAAACCTCATTTCTGGTTACCATGATAGTTTTAACGTTGTTTCAGCTTCCTTATTTTTTTTTTTTTTTTTTTTTTTTTTTTTTTTTTTTTATGAAAATAGATTGATGTGTACATGGACAAATTTAAGGCAGTGCGCAATGCCTAGTTTGTGCAATTCTAGGATTTTTTTTTAAGTGAAATTACATCGATGAGTACATGGACACAGAGTTTGTGCAATTCTTTGACTTTTTATTTTGGTTTTGTGTAGCGGCCATCTTGAAATTTTGCCTTCCTGGCGCCAATCTTGGCGTAAAAAAAGAATCGCCAATAAACAAGGGACACCCAATTGTAAACTTTTACCCTAGTAAATACACAAAAATTTCATGGTCGTTGTCATGAAAGTTTTTAACTAAATAATTTGCGTATATAACGTCATAAGTTAATATCACCATTGTAAAATAAAACAATATATTAAAGAACGGAAGAGAAAAAGCATTTTCTTTTATACAAAACAATTAAAAAATCGCGCAATTTTAAATCAAGATATAAAGAAATTTATAGTTGGAAGTTCCTTACGGAATTAAATATAAATTCATACCGCTTAAGGCCATGTGCAGCAGAACTATGCCCACACAGATCTCAAACACCAAGTGATGCATACGATCTTGCGACATTATAACTCCATCTAAAAAAAATTTTCGAGAGTTTAAATATTTTAGAAATATGTATTTAATATTGCACTGTAGTGAAATATCAAGCATATATTTTTATAGTGAACTTTTTATATTTATAACCCATGGTAAGAAAGAAACTGAATTTTATTGTTACGAAATGTACAAACGCGGTAAGATGGCTTCCCCGCAAAGCAGTTTTCGGGTTGCCATAAAATGGCAAAGGAAGGCATGGTTGCCACATTTGGCGAGAAATCGTTCATTTGGCGGTCCTTAGCAACAAAATCTTATGGCAACCCTAAAACTGCTTTGCGGGGAAGCCATCTTACCGCGCCTGTTCATTTCGTAACAATATTTTTACCCTGAACAGTAACAGGATTGAATAATCGCATGGAATATTTGGGCAAACTTTAATAACGAATGAAACTCGCACACTTATTTTTCATCAGTCATAGCTTTATTTTGCAAGTAAGAATAAATAACAAATTTTCTCTAAAAAAATCTTGAATTCTTGAGTTACACCTTAGTCAAAATGTACGAAGTTGTATTCTTCGAATGCAACTAAAATTGATGTTACATTAAAATGCGATAAATAAGCTTGGATAAGATACAGAACAGGGAATGCTACTTAATTACAAAAACTATAATTAGTTTATAAAGAAGTTGCAAGAAATTTAACATGAAAAAGAAAAGGCAAATAACATGAATATAATAAAATACTGAAATAAAATTTTAATTAAAACAAAACAAATAAATAACAAAAGTTGACAATTCTTTGATATTTGTTGTGGAGACTCAAGGAAATCGGAAACATAACTGGATGACCTGCGGTAAGGGAAGCGTAAAAGAACAATAAGCTTAAGTATAAAACAGAAGTTTAATTTTTAATGAAAACTTAGCATTAAAGCTATATATATAAAAGCGCTCATCAAGATCTAACCTCTGCCGATTTGACGCGAGAGCAAGATATGTATTTTACGCCTTGAAATCAATTATAAATCATAAATACACAGGTAAAATGAGTAAACACAGGGTTGCCAATGAAGTGCGGAATTTTAAAGCACCCAAATTTTTCGTCAAATTTACGTCAGTTTTCAAATTACGTTTCCAATATTAAATATACTGTTTATTAGCACGAGAATCGCAATTAAGTGGCAGTAGAGCTGAACTTTGGTCATGTTTGCCGTATTCAGTGTAAGAAATCAAGTTAACCTGAATACTTAACGTATAAAAAAGACTACATTCGCAAATGGATGTATCGTTTATCTGGCGGATAACGAGTTACTGTAACAGTAACACGTTTTAATTTGATAAGGAGAAACGGCATCTTATATCCTAGCAGCTTATATCTTATATCTTAGCACCATTAATTTTACGCCTGATAGAGTTTCTAATTTAGATTCATACTCTTAATCTGATAGGGCAATACGAGTACAGAACAGATTTTTAAAATAAATAAAAGCAGGCTAATTAAAATAAAGCTTACGATATAAAAAAGGTGTGAACGATTTTTGGGAAACATAAATTAGGACGAGACTGAAGCTGAACCTAAACGACTTATCGTTATGTCCGATTATCAGAAAAAGAAAGTAAGAAGGGTGTAAAATAATCTCTTATCAAAACTCAGTAAATTAACATAAAACACTTCTTGTGCTTACAGAGCCAGCCATCATTAATTGCGTAACTCTAAAAGTAATGTCGTAAGTTAGCAAAATGCTACGCAGCATAAATAACGAGCGTGAGTTGTATCAAATTTAATACCGGGGTGACAAATTTGATGGGAATAACGCAATGCCGCAGACGAACAGCTATCGAAGAAATTCAACTAGTAATGTGTCAATCAGTCTGAGAAACACGCTGCGATTAAACCTGATGAAGTTGGCACCCTGATTATCAACAAATATGCTTTGTGGAAAGTTTAAAAAATGTTCTCCCACAATTTCTTTAAAAAAATTTTGGAACCACAGTACTTCCTTGGCTGCGTGGCACATTGAGAGGTACTCAGCTTCAACTGTTGACAATGCAGTCGTCTGTTGTTTCTGATTACTCCATGAGACAGCTCCACCTGCTCGTAGCACCACATAGCCACTAAATGATCGTCTGTCAATCTTATCACCAGCCCAATCAGAATCACAAAACACTTCCAAATTCTTTCCTGTCTTTTGGTAAGTCAGCTTTAATTCCTTGGTCTGTTTTAGGTAACGAAGGATATGTTGTACACCATCTCAATATTCCTTGCTTGGGCAATTATTGAATTGGCTCATGTAAGTAGTAGCAAAAGCTAAATCTGGCCTTGTTCCTCCTGCTAGGTACAAGAGCCCTCCAAAAGCCTGCCTATATTTTAATGCTCCTTCAGCATTCAACATGTTATCCTTAGTGGCTGTTGTATATTTCATACCTGGATCTAATGGTGTTGATGCTCCTTTAGCATCTTGCATATTAGTTGTGTTCAAGACGCTCACTGGCATAGACACTTTGGTCATAGAGTCACACAGCCATCTTCCCTTTCTGCTTGAAAGATCCTGGATTGAAAGAAGGTGATGTATTTCTCCCAAGTCCTTGATTTTAAATGTGGCTACAATATTGTCCTTAAATTCCTGAATGATGAAACCTTTGCTGCACATTACAAGGAAGATCATCCACATACACACCTACGATTAACTTCTTTTCTTTATTGAAGTAAACACAAGGATCTGCTCTGGACTCTGGATTTGTTAAGGCTTCGCTGATTCATTCGAATTCATCGAGACACATATTCCACACTCTTCCCAGACTGATGAAGTCCATAAAGGCTTCTCTTTAGCAAGCAAACTTCGCTATGTGTTTTCTCATGCAGACTCACTGCGTGGCTGTTTCCATGAGCATTGTCTCACTCAATCTTTCCATTTAAATAGGATGCAGTATTATCCAAGTTTGATGAACCTACCAGTCTTGCTCAACTGAGAATGCTTAATAAAATTCTTAATTGATTTTGTTTTTGTTACAGGAGAAAACATCTCTTTGTAGTCAATTCCTTCGACTTGGGTGTAGCCACGAGCAACTAAACGAGCTTTATATCTTTCCACTTGTCCATCTTTGTTAAGTTTTCTCTTGAAGACCCACTTACATTTCACAACTTTCCTTTCCTCTGGCGTAGGCCCTATGTCCCAAGTTTCATTTCGTTTTAAATTTTCCAACTCTTCTTCCATGGCTAACTTCCATTTTTCTGCATCTGGACTAGTTAATCTCCTTTTCTGGTATATCCTCCACCTCCTTCTTTTCCTGTTGAGGGCCTTCGTCTATTACTTTATTTTCAACTTCAACATCTTGAGATGAATTTCTTCCAGAAACTTGTTGTGGGTGCAATGTTATAATGTTTCCAGTCATGGAAGGTTTCTCTTCAAATATGACATCTCGGGAACAGATTACTGTACTGGTTTCTTTGATGTAAATGCGGTACCTTTCATCTCCATCACACCCAAGGAGATAGCCTTTAGTTTCCCTTTTGTCCATCTTTCTCCTCTTCTGAACTGGGATATGAGTATAGCAAGTCAATCCAATGATGCGCATGTGTTTTATTCTGGGTTTCTTTCCCATCCATAATTCATAAGGGCTTGAATTAGGAACTGAAGACTTGCCTGTCCTATTCAATATATAAATTGAAGTACTGACGAACTCTGCCCATAGGAAAGCTGGAAAGTCCACTTCCTCATTCGAGTATTTGAGAGTTCTGGCCATTTTTCTGGGACTGTTCTGTTCTCTCTCGTTCAGCACTGCCATTTTGTTCTGGTGTATATGGAGCTGTGAGCCTCTGGGAGATTCCATGCTTGTTCAAGATCTTGCGAACGGCTTGGTTGTCAAATTTCTCCACCATTGTCACTGAGCATTTCTTTAACCGTATGCCCTAAGTTCTTAGCGTGATCTTTGAAATTTTCAAGCACATCTTTTACTTCTGATTTGTGCTTTAAGAAAAAACAGTATCGAAATTTGGTGTAGGCATCTTTGAAGATTGCAAAGTAAGGTATTTCCTAAATGACTGATCAAATGGCCCACAAATATCTGTCGAGAACAATTCTCCAGCTTTTGTAACCGCTTTCCTGGTTCCAAACTTTAAACGGTGGGATTTTCCGTATACACAAGCTTCACATAATTTCATATTAGATTTAATCTTAATATTCAACTCTTTCTCTACAATGGCCTTTACATGCTTTTTATCTTGGTGACCCCATCGTTCATGATAAAGTTGGAGAGTTGATTCATTATTCTCAGTCATGTTGATGTCAGTGTGAGTTTCAGGAACTAAGGTCTTCATCACGGCTTTGAAGAGACCCCACCACAGCATTTCTTGTTCCATGCAGAACTATTTCACACATCTATTTTTAAATAGCAGTCCTTAAATGTTGATTCAAACACACACTGTTTTGATTTCTATCTTGAGATGCTAACACAGAAAATAGATTTTTACTTATTTCTGGAACATAACAGACATTTTCAAGATTTTTGATTTGATTCATCCCATTTACAATGGTCATTATCTTGATGGTGCCTTTTCCAATTGCTGGTAATGACTTTCCATTTGCCACAGTGATGCTATGAGGAAGCTTAAATCTTTTGAAGTCTATAAAGTAGTGACTGTTGTTGACGACATGCTTCGAGGCCCCATTATCAATAAACCAATCATCAGAATTCGTTTCTGCAGAAAATATTGTGTCATCTACAGCTAGAAGTGTCATATTTGCAGCAACACTGTTTTTACTTCCCTTGTTTGGCCCTATATGTGGACTGGGTTTCGGCGGTTTTCCATCAGCTATCCATTTCTTGCATGTTCTGACCCAGTGTCCTCTCTGGTGGCAATAATTACACTTGCCATTGTTTTTCTTGTTAATAGATGATTTCCGCTTAAATTCCGGATTTGCTATCAATGCTTCCTGATCTAAAGTTTCTAAAAAATATGGATCTTTCCTTAATTCTCTTTCATGGGTGCACAATTGTGTGGTTAATTCATCTAAAGTTCTCTTTTCATCACT